AATGATGGAAGTACTGGATTCTTGCAGGATACTTGAATGCATGCGAACCAACGACCGAAGTGGCACCAGTAGAGTCCCAAGGTTGCTTTCCCACCAGAGCACGCTCATGCCAACCCAGTAGGTCATGACTCGGTCCATTGCTATCTCTAGTCTTCTAGCGTCTACAGTTTTGTAGCCTTTTGATGAATAGATCGATATGTGGAGGATTAGGGTTGCTAATGGCCGGCGCAGCACCACTTGACGCGCTCGCGCTCGGGCGTCGTCTTGTCCGAGACGCTGAGCCACTTGCACTGGCAGGCGTACGCAATGCATCCTACGCACAAGTATTCGCTACCTCTGGCTTCAGCGGCGTCTCTCGGTACCGGACGAGGGCTCCATCTTCGCCCGGAGCTTGGCTTCGTTGGGCACATTTTCGCGAAAAAACATGTAGTCGGCGGACGCGTGCCATCGCCTAATTCAGCGATGATGCTATCGTCAGTGATTCAACAGACATTTTGGCAGTAGGTACGTGTTGGCGAACTGAACGACGGTAAAGTCGCAGTCGTTGCAGCGCAGGTTGGAGCACGCACTACCAGAAGGGAGGGCTGAGATCCGAATGTGGCAAAGCACTGGCCGTACGCCGCGTTGACCGCGCTCACGTGCTGGCCGTGCTTGAGTGCTGTGCCAGCCAGCGCCACGTTCGTGCATCTACGCCGTGCGTTGAGTTTAAGACACGCGGCGTCAGCTACTTTTTCGAGCTGCCAGCTTGGAACTCTCTCGGCGCCGCCTTCTTCGCGTACGTCGCGACCTCGGGCTCGGCGACGAGGTCGAGCAGATCATCGAGGTCCGATTGCATGCGGCTCTTGGACGACGACGACGGTGCTGGCTTGGAAGCACTCGGCATTGACGACGACGAGGCCGAGTACGTCGACGACGTTGAGTAGGCCGACGAGACCGAGTACGTCGACGATGGCTTGGAGGATGTATACGACGACGATGTTGCCGGCTTCACGGGCGCGCTCGTACCGCGCACGGCCGACTCGACTTCGTTCAACAAGTCTTCAAAGTCCATCGCTAATTGCCAACTGCCACGCGAGCCGCAGCTAATTATAGCGATGTCCCAACCCCCGACATACGGTGAATTTCCGGTAGCACCAGGTCGCCTTGCCGCCAAGAACACTCGCCGTAGTGTTGCCGTTAAAGGAATAGATCAATTCGAGTGTCGCGGGATGCCCTGTTGAAACACGGGATCGGCAGCATGGACTTTCAATCACATAGTTAAGTGTTGGACTCGACGGTGTACCAGCCTTCACTGGAGACGTCGGAGATGCTCTCTAGCTCGTGCTTGGATCAAGTGCACACTGGACGGTTGTGCAAGCGAGCTTCACGACTTTGAGTACTAGAGCTGTATATATGATCCCAGCACCAATTCTTGTTTATCTTCAGTTGCTCTATTCGCAGCGTCCGATGGAGCATGCAGCGCAAATCGAAAGTGCCAGCGAGTTCGCTGGTCATTTCTTCACCATCTTTCTTGGGGCAAACGTGTACTGGGTTCTAGTGCACTTGGGGCTCTTCCATCATCCACGGTAGTAGCCTGATGGCACACCATCGCCACCAGTTTGGATATACGACCAGCACTCTCTCTCATATGACGTGGCAGAACAAGGTACACGCCTTTAGCAACCATCATTCACAGGAACTTTCCATATTTTGTGGAGCGGAGGCACGGCAGCATTCCAGATTTCGAGACGATGGACGCACTTGCCTGCTTGGTGGACGAGAACGTGCTGACGCTCCGCGTCAAGAGCTTGGAGGTCGACTGCGCATCATCGGCGTCGACGGATGGAACGTCGGGCCCGTCCACGCCAGTGTCCGTGCCCGACACGGCTGTCTGCGACGTGTGTATGGACGACGTCGCCTGCACGAACCTCGTCGATCGTCTCTGTCGCGACGACTGCCCGGCGCGCCTGTGTCCTACGTGCATCGCGGCCTTCCTGGACGTCCGAGCGCGCGACGCGATCTTTGGCGTCCTGACCAAGCTGCCGTGTCCCGTGTGCGTCACGCCCATGAGCACCGTCCGCTTCCAGCTGCAACTTGACCCGCTCTTCGACGATGCGAGTCCTTCTGCGCCGAACGAGACACTGATCGAATCCGATGGTGAGGCTCGCGGAAGCGACACAGTCGCTAGCTGGACCGCCGCGAAGCAAGCAGCCAAGGCGAGCATCCTGGAGAGCCTTGCCATGTACGACCGAAAGGTCGCAGGTGCCTGCAAGATGAAGTGTCCGTCGTGCCACTCGGATCGCAGCCAGTTGCCGACGCCGTCGTCGGATCCGTTGGTGCTGCCAGCAGCGCTCGAGCTGCACCTCCCAGCACTCCTCGACGTCCATCGTCGTTTCTGCCAGCACGAAGCCTCGGTCACGGAACTTGTCGCGCTTGTGGACGCCACCTTTAGCGGCGAGGACGCCACCGATGTCAAGCAGAAACTGTTGCAGATCACGGCGGACAAGGAGCGTCAGGGTGCGCTCTTTCTCCGCCTCGTGCAGCAAAACCCGTTCATTCAGACGCTCTGCTGCTCGGTCGACGTGTGCTTTGCGTGCCAAACTGCGGGTCACCACCATGGCAGTGAGTGCGTCGCGGGCGCTCTTGGCCGTGTTCACGACATTGTCGCGTGTCCGAGCTGCGCGCTTCCGCTTGTCAAGGGCGACGGCTGCGACTCGGTCAACTGCTTTTGCGGCGCAGCGTTTAACTGGCCCAAGGCCGTGCTGGATGCCAAGATGCGCCAACTCACGACGCGCCACAAAGCTTCGATTTCAGCGCTCGTGGTGGCCGTCCGTCGATACCAGACGCGAGCCCGTTTCCGCAAGCGCGTGCTTGTCGATCTTAAATTCCGAGTGCAAGAAAGTCGGGTGGCCTGGATCGATGCGGCACTGATGGCCAACCCCATCGCGCGCCAAGTGCTTCGGTCTGCACTGGTCCGCCGACTGCAAGCGGTGCGCTGGAAAGTGCTGCACGTGACGGAGCTCACGGACGCTGCTATTGCGATGGCATCGCGCATTTTTTGGCGGCTTTTTTGGGTCGAGCATCCCGAGGAGCAGCATGCACTGGCCGACGAGACCCAAGTGTTTTCGTGCATGGATCTCTGAGCCAAAGACAATAATGTCCATGTCGATCAACGTATTGCACATCAACACAAGTCACAGTCTCCAATTGCTCAAGTGCGGACAAGGAGCTTGACCGTCGGCTAGTACACAGGGCTGTGTGACCACTGCTATTGTATGATCCAGATCAACCTTGATCCAGATGTAAGACTCCACGTCTGGTCCATCCTTCCGGAAACAACCAAAGGTTCATTTCAGAACTTGGTTGGTGTATGCAAGTACAAGGTCTCGAGGCTTTGACACTTTTCAATCAGCGGCAGCGTTCTACGCCGCATCCTGAGCTGGAACACGGACCGAGAGATCATACCGTCCGTGGTACTGGCGCTGCTTGGTCATGGTTGGAAACAAAAAATGTTTTCTGTGCTGGGCAGTCTTGGGCGGCAACGGGAGCTCGCTGCTGTGGATGGCTGGCGCGGCGGGGTGCATCAAGGCGTACCCATGCGACGCCAACGACTTGGTTCGAAACGTCGAGTGCATGCTGTGCATGGCCACGAGCATATCGCGTGTCGGCTCAATGGGCTCGACCGCCGCCATGTTGCTACAAAGCAAAGCCGTGCCGATGACGAGCTTCGAGTTCACGTACACGTGCTTGAACTCAGCCAGCATCGCCGAGCGCGGCGTTGCGTCGAGTGCGCTCGGCGTCTCGCTCCTGTTGTTGTTGCCGCTGCTCTTGGCCGCACTTGGTAGTCGCTTTGCCTCGTCTTCGAACGGCGGCAAGTAGGGCACTAGCACCCGACGTCACTCCTCGTCCCTCGTACAAGTGCATCGATGCGGTACGGGTGTGATGGCTCAAGAACGTATGGAGCTCGTTGAAGCTTGGTGACTCGGTCGTCCATTTGTCACCGAGGAGGAATCCCATGCGTTCGAGGACAAAAGCGAGCGTCTGGTGGGCGACGACCACAAGCCCTACGCACGCCAACACGCCATGAACGAAGCGTTTGAACGACACGATCGCACGGCGCTTCAAGTCGTCCGAGGTTTTGAGCACGTCGTAGAGCTCTTGCAAGTTGAAGTAGACCACGTCGACGTCCGAGAGGCAAGTCACGGTGACGGGTTCGGGCAAGTCAAAGAGGCAGGCAATATCTCCAATGTACGACTACATCATGACAAACAGAGTACATTTGGGGCAACGAGCAAGCCAAGTACGGAACCTGCGGGCCCAGTAGCGCGACGTCGACGCCGTTGGCATTGGCGAGCGCAAACGACCGGTCGCTCGGTCCTTCAAGCGCCGACGGGACCTTGTACGAAGCCTTGCACGCGCCCGACGTGATAAAGTACAGGTACGACTTGGCGTCGCCCTGATGGACAATGTGGCAGCCTGCGTCGTACGTGTGGAGTCGGGCAAAGGGCGATAGAGCGTCCAAGCCGTAGCGTGCGAGGCCGTGGTTTCTAGTTGCAAGAAAGATATGACTGACGCGCTGCACATGGTCCGAATTTACTTTGTCACGTTGGCAACTTTTTCCACGGCGCCGTTAATGGTGAAGTTGGCCGTCACGATCAAGTAGTCGGCGGGCCCCACCAGCACGACCTGCACGTAGCTCGTAAGCTGGCAATATGCATACGCCCAGTCGACCACCTTTTGATAAGGGCAGAGACGCATTTCTGCCGACGCGGCGGCCCACCCCGCGGGGTTGGCGTCCGAGTACGTGGTGTTTGTGATTTTGAGATTGCCAAAGACAAACCCATCGTTGTTGATGGCGGGTTTGAACTGCTGCGACTCGAGCAGCTACAGCACATGAGGCTCTACCACATGATATCCGCAGTACAAAGCACTCGGCGCGGCCGCGCAAAACGACGTTGGCTTCGTTGTTGGCGCGGGTGAGGATCGTGACGCGCTGCCCTTTCTCGATTGTCTTTAATTGGACTTCTTGGGCCAGCGCGAGCCTACGCGCCGCCGAGAATACACGCGATGACTCGAGGAAGACGAGGCTGGTACTTTTCCGTGTGCGTCAGGAGCTGCCACCACCCCAAGCGGTGAATCGATGTCTCTTGCTGGAGGTACTTGACGACAAACTCCATTTGTTGCTACGGCACCATCACCACCGGTGCATATCGCGTAGGTGTACGTTAGAGAGGTCTTGGCCGCGCATGAGCATCTTCCGCAGCGCAAAGCGTGCTTGGAGCGACTGTGCGCACACCTGGATCTACTCGCAGACGATGACTCGGAGCGAGACGAGGATGAGGACGGGCGCACCGAGGCCTTGGCATTCCGCATCGCCAACGATACTAATCTAATTTGTTCTAGATGCGGTTGGCCCATTACAAGAAAACAAGAATCCGCCGGTAGATCGGGTGCACGTAGTGCTCGTAGAAAGCCGTGTCGACAATGTACACGTGCTGCAGCGCAACCACAGACATGGCTGGCGCGCTGCCACGTACTACGCCTTCGATCGCCTCAAGCGTTGCACTTGGGGATACGACATTGGGTGCTGGAAACGAGCGCACATCGCCGCCAGACACTGCGTGGCGCTCGCCCACCGTCCGTGGGCAGTTGTCGTTTTCGGATGCCACCTCCTCGAGGGCCTCCTTGGTCCACGCCGGCACTGTCACAACCAATCGCGCGGCGCGCTTCTTGTACGTAGCGACCGAGAGCAGGTCGCTGGGCCCAAAGATGCTCGTCAATGGCGCCACCGTGTCAAAGTCGTCTTGGTTGTACCCGTCGCCGACAACGAAAAGCTTCTTGCCTCGAGAGATGGCCTCGCGCTTGAACGCGTCAAAGACCGCAAGGATCTCTTGGTGCAAGTAGTCGGTTTGCTTGGTGACGTGGCAGAAGCCGAAGCAGACGATGGCGTCGGGAGAGGAGGGTTCACCGGGAAGCGCGCGCGAGAGGAAGACGTAGTAGTCGCGGTTGACCGCAAGATAGGCGCAAAAGAGGACGAGGAGCACCGACTTGCCGACGCCTGGTGAACCCACGAGCACTGCACTGCGCATGCTCGCTGCGTCTGGCAGGCGCCAGGGGCTGTGGAGCTTGATGGTGTCATTTTGAACAGCGTGCAGGGCGGCGGCCTCGACTTTTGTCAAAGCCTTCGTGGGCAATAAGTTGGCCAGCAAGATATCCCACACCATGCGCATCTCCTTGCGCACGTAGACGACCGAGGGGCAATCGCCAAACCCATCAAAGAGGCGGCGGAGAGTGCTCGTGTCGAAAGTGGCGCCAGCTTGGATTGCACCAAGGTCAGGGACGTCGACATTGGCCAAATCGGTGCTATCGTAGAGTGGTACGAAAGGGGCCATCGATGACAGCTTGATCGGCATGTCTAAATGCAACGTGAGTTTTGCGGGGACTATTCTGGATGATGCTCTTCTTACCTCTGAAGTTGAATGTGAGTCGTGTCAGATATATGTTGTGCGACTGGCATTGGGTGTAGTGCGTGTGCACTTGGTCGAGTACGCCGTCAACTGTCAGCTCATCAATGGTGTCGTCGGAGAACACGCAAGGAAGAAGCGTGTCGCCCGAGGGCGGAGTCGTTGGGGCGCAAGGCAACACCAGCTGCGAGAAGTCGAGCGGCGCATGGCGGTCTCGAGTCACAAAGTCGAGTGCAATCAACTCTGTCGCTGTCTTGACATCGGCCACGTAGTGCGACGAGACCGGAAGGTCGTCGAACGGACGCAGCGCGTAGCCCGCCATTGTCAGCACGCACAAGGTAGCATCATCGACCGGGACGTAGCAATTGCCGCGACACGTCTTGGCCAAAAGGTTGTAGCCATTCAAAGTCGACCAGACGCAGTCGACAACGAGACCGTAGGCCCACTTGCCCACGTGGGCAAAGCAAACGTACCACCCAAGGTACGTCCCGACGCCCGACTCGGCCTGCTTCTGGCTCGTGGCAAACGGCCGGTACTCCGCGGCAATTCGATCCTCCGTTGGATGGTGGGTATGCGCATCGTGTGGTGTTTGGCGTGCGCACTCGCGAGTGCGGCCCGAGAGCACGGGCGTCACGAGCCACACTGGTTTGAAGGCATAATCTGGCAGGAAACCCAGAGGCGAGCACTTGACGTAGACATGGCGCAAATTGCTGTACTCGGGCATCAGCGCGTAAAAGGGCGCGTCGGCAGTGAGGCTCTTGTACGTCATGGTGTCGAACCAAATGTGGTACTTCGTCAACGGGATTTCTGGCACGGCGATTGATGTTTCGAGACTTTATGGAACGCCCCGTCGGTGTGCGCAGAAAGGGGTGGCTCGTTGGTACTAACAACGTCGTGGTCTTGGTTCGCGGAAAGCTAAAGAGACGCATGCATCGTCCTTTGTTTCAATGGCTCGAGTCCTACCATACTGTTTTCGATCATACATCCAATTCAGCGATGGATGGTATCGAGTTGCTGAGAGGCGAAAAACCATGCCTGTAGGCTCATGACCACAAATATAATACGCTTACCTGGCAAGTCTTCTCCCGCCGCCTCGGTAACCGCTTGCGAACACCGCCGCGCTTGATGCGGGTAGGGGTTACTGTCGCGCACAAAATGACATACTATCGCGCGCCTCCAAAAACGGTATACTACCGCCTTCGAGGGCTTCGTGCACCAGCTCGCGTCGGAACGCCAGCTCAAGCTCCGCGTTTCGGACTACAACTCTTTCATATGTTTCCAGTTGTCGGCCACTCCATCCATCGACGACTTGTTTGACGACTAGTTGGTAGTTGGGGTGTCTGCCCCACGAGTACATTGCCGACTCGGACCAATGTGAGGACGTCGATGCGGTGCTGAGCTTTTGACCCAAACGTACAATTAAAGTGATAGTTCACTGTTGTGTCACGGCTATGAGTCGCAAGTCTGCAGTGCCATTGCTGCACCGCCGTGTTGATCCCGTTGTAACCAAAAGACAAGGGTACACAATTGAAACATGAGGACATGTGTTGATTACATTTTTGGCGCAGTCTAGTTAGTACTCCTCGCCGAGCTCCTCTTCCTCGCCTTCGCCCTCGGCGGTCTCGGCCGACACTTCTTCGTAGTCCTTCTCGAGCGCGGCCAAATCTTCGCGCGCCTCCGAGAACTCGCCTTCTTCCATGCCCTCACCGACGTACCAGTGGGCGAACGCACGCTTGGCGTACATCAAGTCGAACTTGTGATCGATGCGCGAGAAGACCTCGGCGATGGCCGACGTGTTGGAGATCATGCACACGGCGCGCTGGACACGCGCGAGATCGCCACCCGGCACGACCGTCGGCGGCTGGTAGTTGATGCCGCACTTGAAGCCCGTCGGGCACCAGTCGACAAACTGGATCGTGCGCTTCGTCTTGATCGTCGCCACGGCCGCGTTCACGTCCTTGGGCACCACGTCGCCGCGGTACATGAGACACGCCGCCATGTACTTGCCGTGGCGCGGGTCACACTTGGCCATCATCGACGCCGGCTCGAACGCCGAGTTGGTGATCTCGGCCACCGAGAGCTGCTCGTGGTACGCCTTCTCGGCCGAGATGACCGGTGCATACGACGACAACATAAAGTGGATGCGCGGGTACGGCACGAGGTTGGTCTGGAACTCGGTCACATCGACGTTGAGAGCACCGTCGAAGCGCAGCGACGCCGTAA